GGCGACCTCTTGGGGGCTTCGGCAGGCGCGATAACGTTGGTATCGAACTCGCCAGTCCTGTTGGCGACACCAGCAGTTTCGTCGTTGGGCTGCGTGCTAGCCATGTTGAGTAGCCTCTCGTCAGATGAAAGTGTTGACGGCACGACCTCGGAAAAGTACAACAAAGCTGGGGTCTTCGTGCTTAAAGCCCTGACGTTCGTCGGAACCCGAAGAACAGGTGAGTAGGTAGTTCCCGCATGGCTAAATCTCAAAGCTAGTAAGCGACTGGACGGCTCCTGCGCGGGCGTCGGGATATTTCTACATGCGGATGGTCGAGTGCGGGGGCGGGCTTCTTCTGGGGAGAAATCCACAAACGGGCGCTGAAAGAGGGATTATCCCGTTATCCGGTGGGTGTTGAGCTGCTGGAAGATGGTCAAGAATACGGGGAGACTGTGGGGTGATGGAATGAAGCTCAAATCTTGGTTCGGGAAGGATGCATTGCGGTCCATGAGTCGTGCCAAGGTGCAGCCACAGGCAGGCAACTTCGGAGCATCGTCCGCCTGACAAGCTTGGAAATAGGCCTCGGAATCACTCGCTGATTACTATACCGCTCAGTTCTGCATGCAAGTTTTCTTCTATTTGGCGTTGCGCAGATGCATGTATGGTGTGGAAACATTTGATGACGTCATAGACATGTTCGCGAACGGAAAATCTTTGGCGTGTCTCAACGCGTCGCGAACGCGGACTTCCACATTCATCGCCAACGTCTGCGACTCCGAACCGACACATGTGCTTTCAATCTCTAAGCCCATATTCGACAACCCGTTCACGTCAAATATGCTTTCCTCGTGCAACCCTGGAAGAGGATGGTACCCGAAGACCTCCTGTACGGAGCCGTGCACACGCATCTTCACGCGACTATACATCTCAGGACAGTATGGATACGGCAGAGCGTGATCGCGACCGGAATTGGATTTTAGAATGACCATATCTACTTCTACGCTACGCCTTTCCACTACTTCAACGCTTCAATCATCTTGTACAAGCTGTTCTCTAGGGTGACAGGCGATCGAAGCGCAGACCAATCGTAGTTCAACAATCCCCAAGCCTCATCCGCTCCTATGAGCGTGTTGGGAGTCCGGTTAGGACGGGTCTGGAGGTAGAAGCTACCTGAGAGCTCCCAATGCTGCCAGCTAACCTGGTATTCCTTGACCATCTCCACCAAGCATTCCGCGTAAGTGGTTTGGTTCCAATACGTTCCGTTCTGGATGAATCCCCATTCGGAGATGACCATCGGGAAGGTATACTTGGTCGCTGGGTCGTCGGGTTTGACGGCCTGGAAGCCCTTCTGATACCACTTCCTCTTGAAGGTCGTGCAGTCATCCTGGGTGGCTTCGAAGTCATACTTGTGGATCTCGAGAACGATTTTGTCCTTCCACGCGAAGCTACCGGGCACGAACTTTGCAGTCTTGTTCGCAGTCGATGTACCACTGGTACCATTGAGCGTCTTTCCGAGAGGGATGGGGTCAATGTACGTGTCGTACGAAAGACCAGAAAAGAAGATTAGCGCACGGGGATCTGCCTCGTGAACAGCATCTGCAGCGGCAGTCATGTGAATATACCATGTATACCAGTCGACCGGCTCGGCTACCTTGGCAGCTCGCAGCTCATTGCGCAGTCCCATTGACGAGAACGTCGACCAGTTTTCTTTCGCCTAAGCTCGTCAGTATCTGCTCCTCGGCGGACAATCTTTTGAGTACATACATGCTTCGTCATAAATGCCAAACCTCGCTTCCACTTCTCCACGTCGAAGTCCTTCTCGCCGAACCAGCCGTTACCGTCGTCATCGCCGCAGCACCAGAATGCTTTCGACACGTGGTTGTCCAAGTGGATGATCACACCTTGCCGCGAAAGTTCCTTGCCAACAGCATCCCAGACTTGCAGTCTTGTTGTGTTCTTGGTGAACTGTGGGTTCTTCTCTAGGATAGAATCCAGAACATCGGTGCCGTTCGTGCCCGGAATCGCATTAAGGACACTCTTTTCGAGAGTCTGGTTAGGGCTATTCGCGAGGTAGTCATCCACCATCTGGATTGCGAACGGCATGCGGACCGAGTTGAGACCGAGCTTAGGAAACCACGATACGATATCTTGAATGGATGAGTGCTGGAGGCCTTCAGGAATCATGATCTCTTGGTGGCCTGGCCAATTGGTCGACATGAAGTGGAAGACATCGCCGTTCGCGTCGACGATATCTCGCCCCTTGGTTGATAAAGGAAGTATGGAAGCGGCCCTCTTCAACGCTGATGGTGGCGCGGCAGCAGCAAAGGAAATCAGCAGCAGCCTCGCGGTCGCACGAATGAACAGCATTTTGACGTGAACAGGACGAAGTGTTGGTTGGTCCTATCCACGTTACGAACCCTAGCATCTTTATGCCGGCAAAGATTCACGCGATCGTCTCAAACTTAGACGCGTCGATATTCACGGCCAAAGTCTTTCCGTCCCTACATTCTAGCAGCGCTACTCAACCCCAGACTCCATGATAGTGCGATGCGGGGAAAGTAGCTAGAAGCCCAGCCTTAGGTCCCCGCTACGTCGCTTCCAAGGCTTATCAACACAGCAAGCGAAGGAACGGATACCTGTTCTGGAAGGCCGTCCACGAGTCCAAGAAAGCATAGTCACGAGCTTTAGAAAGATACGAGATCAAGAAAAGAATGACGTCCACATCGCGGGCAATGCCCTGAGCTTGTGCAAACGGCCGGGTAGCGGGCATCGGGGTAATGCAGATCCCGCATTTAGCCTACACCTTGACTTTGAACTCTCGTCGCAAGATGACCCGGTATCGATAACAGCCCCGCCATGCTACGCGCGACAGTTTACGCGTCGCCCGATGTAGGCTTTTTGGCAAGAAGCAACACCTTGGCTGCTCTCCGCTTTGCTTCCTGACTCTTCTCTTCGCTCAATTACGACGGAACAGCTAGTAGAAACGGCACACCTCAAGGACTCAGTTCCAAGTGCCATTGGACGAAATTACCTTCGTATGCAACATACGTCACTCGCAATTTCCGATCGCGAAAGCAAGATGGGAAGCGCTGTACAGGATGCCAAGATGCCTTCCAAAGCCGCAGTGTAAGCAAACGCGCATGTCAAACGACACAAGCCAATGCTAAGTCCATCTAGCGTGAAGGATGTCGACCTCAGTCAGATCTACTCTGAAAGCGTGGCAGCAAAGATCGTTCAAGTCGCGCAACGCGGTCTCAAGCAACAAGCTCCTTTACAGTCATACCCACACACCGTACCCCAGATTGGTCCCGACGCAGGCCGATATGAAGAGCGGGAAGCAGATTTCTGGACCTGTGGCTTCTTCCCAGGATGCATATACGCGCTTCTCGAACGCTCGATACGATACCCACAGGCCATTGATGTCCCAGAACATGTGCGGCCACAAATTCAAGACCAACTACTCAAGTTAGGACGACACTACGGCGTCGCTATTAATCAGATGTCAGGTCGAACAGATACCCACGACATGGGCTTCATCGTACAGCCCGCGTTACAGAAAGACTGGGAGTTGACTGGCAACAAAGAGAGCTTACAATCTGTCGTCAACGCAGCATACGCGCTCGCATCGCGATACGACGACCGGGTAAAAGCGATTCGGAGTTGGGATGTTGCGATCAACGACCGTTACTCAATAACGGACATGTCGACAAACTTCCTCGTGATCATAGATAGCATGTGCAGTAAGCCTTCCAGTCTATCCACTTGTTCTCTCCACTGACCCAAACATCCCAGACCTCGACCTCCTCTACTTCGTCGGCCACATCCAAAACGACCAAAAGCTAATCGACATCGCAACCCAACACGCCGACTCCATCATCCACGAGATCCTGCGACCCGACTTCTCCTCCTACCACCTCGTAAACTTCGACCCGCGGACCGGTCAGCCACAAGCCAAGATGACGAACCAGGGTTGGAAAGACGATTCGACGTGGAGTCGAGGCCAGTCCTGGGCTATAATGGGGTTCGCGCAGACGTATTCGTGGACGAAAGATGTAAAATATCTGGCGACGGCGATCCAATGCGCAGAGTACTTCTTGCGACGGTTGAAAGAAGGAGAGGGGAAGTGGCACCACCCCATGGTCCCGTGTTGGGATTTCGACGCGCCACAAGATAACCCCGAGGAGCCGCTACGCGATGTTTCCGCAGGCGTGATAACAGCGAATGGTCTCCTCATCATCCACCAAGCACTCCAATCCCTCTCTTCAGCCACGGCATCACAACTCCCCTCTAGCAGCACCACCAATTTCCTCGACATCGCACTGCAGATCGTATCCCAGACGCTGGATATGTCGTACGACTCTGATCTAGCATCTTTTGAACTCCCCACCAAGAGCATGGTCAATGGGAATAGCGCTAACGGCGCAGTGGTAGCATCGGAGCTCAAGATCAAAGAATCAGGGTTTGAGTGTATACTGAGGAACAGCACGACGAATTGGAATGAGCATGCGCATATGAAGTATGCGGATCATGGGTTGGTGTATGCGGATTATTATCTTTTAGAATTTGGGAATAAGCTTTTGAGGGCGGGGTTGCTGTGATGGGTGATGGGTCGTTGGGACGAGTGGTGTTTGGCGAGGAATACGTATTGAAGTGAAGCAAGTCAGCAGTTTCTGCCTGTGGTTTTGATGTGCGTTTGTTGTGAGTGAGCATGTGTGAAGACGGTATGAAGGAAGCTAGCATATGAGAAGAGCAGAACAGGTGAGCAACGAGTAAGAGTCAAAGAACGAGCGGTTGGATTTCTTTTGCGTGCGTGACGAAATGAGCGTAAGGCGTAAGGCGTGGTAGTGTACATACAGCGATATGAAGCGAGTGTGGGTATGTATATGCAACTGCATAAAACGAGTGTGATAGTGCAAGTGTGCACAAACGTGAAGAGGGACATGTACAAGAAAAATGAGCGGAAAGTGGCGCCGCAGCCAACAAACAGCAGGAACAATGCCTAGCCGGTCATTGTCACTGGCTTACACAGTGACATACTCCATGATGACCGAAGTCACAACCGTGGTCTGTGGATCAGCGGGCGCGGTAGGCTCAGGCGCTTGCTCTGAGACGGCCGGTGCGCTAGAAACCTCGGGTGTGGGTGTAGGAATCGATGAGATGGCTGGTGCACTGGAGACCTCAATTGAGATCGCAGGTGTAGGCGTAGATACGGCCGGGGTAGAAGCACCCAGTGTCACATACTGCGTAATGACCGACTCCAAGAGCGTCGTTGCAATCTGGGGGCCCGCACCACCAGCGTCAGGCGCGACTTCCGGAACCGGGGCCTTCTTCCACTCAAACTCGCCAGACTCGGCGTTGTAAGATCCGCTCGACTGATCTGCGGGGAGGGTCGAGTTGGTGCCGTCAGGTCCAGGTCCGTTGTACACGGGCGGGTTGCCTTCGATGTCGTCTTTGTATTCGACATCGCCGTTCCAGGTTGGTACCTCGGTGTCGGACTCTGGGATGCTGACTGGTACGCTGAACACGGTGACGTTCAAGCCCTTGGGTGGCTTGTTTCGTGGGATTTCGCTAAAGTCCAGAGCTTGGATGCGCCAGCTGAACTTCTCTTTGAGATAAGCCTGTACTGTCTCTTTGTCCAGGCTCTTGAGCTCGCCTGCCGCGTGCTTCTGTGCAAGCTTCTCAGTCAAACCGATGTTACCCGTAACGATGTTTGAGGAGCTCATTCGCGGAGAAGACAGGGTGGCGAGCTGACCAACGTAGTTGGGGTCTGTGGGCCAGTCGATGGGGTTGGTGCTGGGCTCGCCAAGGAAGGCGCGAACGGCGTAGGAGACCTTGATGTCGGTCGGCATGTTGACTTCGCACTGCCAGTCGGTAGCCTGTACCGTGCGGTTGATGCTGCCTCCGCCTGGAGTCGGGAACGTCGCGTTAACTGTTGCATTGGTCTCACTCAGGCCTTGAGTCTGGGCCTTGTACAACTGATTGATAGAAGATGTCAGCGTCGCATTGCTGGGGTTGTTTTCGAGTTCGGGGTAGGTGTATCCAAAGGAGGTCCAGTTGCGTGAAGTGGTTGCAGTCCACATGTCGCCAAGGGCGTTCATGTGGAACGGTGCGAGTGGCGAAGCAGTACCAAGAACGCTACCGCTGGCGACAGCGAATGAACCCATACGCTGTTCGGCGTCCTCGACCCAGGTGTCGGGGTAGCGAGTTTGGTACATGGAAATGATCCGATCAATGTTACTACACACGATTAGCGTTACTCTCAGCATTGCGTTCCGAGGACTTACCAGTGATGGAACCAGAAGATGGGGTCGAATGCGGAAACCTCTACTATGCCCATGTGACCCAATCCGAAGACGGTGTGCAGGCCATCGTGTAGAGTCTCGAAGTTTCCGATCTTGCCACCGTTCGCCTTGTTGCTCACTTGACTGAAGGGTTGGTACGTCGTCAATAACTTATAGAGCATATCGCGGAGATTGGGCTGCTGTTTGCCAACTCGATCGTTAACCTCGCTGTTACGGCTGGTGGCATTGGCAGCGTGGGGATCAGCTGGGTACCGAATAGTGTGGTTCCAGTACTTGAACTCAAACTCGCTCTACTTGTGTGTCAGCAGCCAAGTTCTTCAGGATGATATCTTCCTCGCGGAGCGTAGATGTATAGATTTGAGACGTACCAGGGGAGCGAAGTCATCATACTTCAGAGGATGGAAGTCGTATTTGTATAGAGGGTTGGGGATATACCCTGTGGTCCCATTGGGGAACGTGACAGTAGCCGTGAGGCAACGCACGTTCTCAGGGATGACACCCTCTTCACTGTTTGGCGGATCCATCGCCCAGTCCCAGTAAGGAAGGCGAACTCGGTTTGCAATATCCAAGGCTTTGTTACGAGCTTCACCGATGGGATACTCATTGGCGACGTCGATCGCGCGATCATGGAGAACCTGCTCGAAGAGCGCGAGATACGGCCGGTGCCATGGACCAAACATGCTGGAACCGTGAGGACAGTATCCCATCATCTCATGACCAGCTGTTCCGTTCACATTGTCCCACTTCTGGAATGGCACTCCGTGTATCCCTAGAGATATTAGTTAAGCCTCTGAAAAGGACACGGATCCCATACCTGCGACCTGGAAGTAAGAGATCTTCTGATCCTGATCCATAGCCTGGAAGCGAGCAAACGCCTGGATAAAGATGTTCCATAACTCCGTGTCTTTCTGCAGTTCACGGAGTTCCTGTCGGGGATGGACTCCAGTTCCTTGGACCCCGACAACACTGAAGTAGCTGTCGTCTGCCTTAGCAACTCCACATGAAGGGCCATTGGTAGAGTTGGACACAGCTTGTACGCTTGCCAGTAACGAGAGTGTGGTAGCCAGACCAGTGAAAGAAAAGAGTGATTTCATGTTGGCCAGCCGGTAGCGAATGAAAGTGATCGTCAAGATCTGAACGAATGGAAGCTGCAACAAGTTGCGAACGAAAAGAATGAATGTCACTAGGACTGAAAGAGAGACTGGGCAAGCGATGCTGTGATGGGATTCTGGATGGACATGATGCTGTATATAAGATGTCCGTAAAATGAACGGCTGATGGCACAATCCACTGCCCCGCTACCTGTAAGTGACGTACCGCGTTGTAGTACCGGCACTTCATGCGTAAAACATCCACCAGCTGTCAAAAGGCAGGTGCAGCAGCGTGTACGCCGTTGTTGCTCGGCGCATCCTTGCATGTAGGATGATGTTCGAAACATGTTTGGTTTCTTCGCATGAACGTGCCAAGGACGGAGGAGCACGACGTATGGACCATGAACACAGACAGTCAGAGTCCTGTAGCTTATTGTCGATCTTGACCGGGGATCTAGTATCTGTGTTCATGATCTCAGTATAGCCGCGCTTGACCATTGACTTAGTCGACCTAGCCAAGACGCAGCATAGACATTTGAGTATCTTGAGGATGTCTCCACCCCACCGGCTAGTCGAGAATCAAACATCGGCACGAGCGGGCCATCTTCGATCGGTGCAGTATACTGATTGTGGCTGTGGCGTGGGGAAGCTGTGTGATGTTGATTGTGTGAGATGGCAGGGCTGCGGCACAGACCACCACGGCATGGTGCGACGCTCACAGAGAGCAAATTGACGAGCAATCGAAATTCAGGCACCTATCAACTCGGATGTGACGGCCTGAAATGATCGATGCGATGAAACAATGTCGGCACGTAACGATTGCTAACCGGCAAAATTGGTGTTATCGCGATTTTGCGGGGGATGTGCTTCATACACTTTCCATAGTGTCGGGAGGCATGGAGTCATCGACATCACGCGCTGTGAAAGTGCGTTTCGTGTCCTTGAGTTGTTTCGCCTGGCTGCTCTTTCTCTTTCTCGAACCTGCACTATCAGATGCGATGTGCAATCTTGCCCACTTTTTCACTCTTTTGAAAACCTCGATTACTGGCACCGGGAGCCCGCCCAGCTGAGCAGCTGAGATACCGTTGCTTCTCGTCAAGACATCAATAGTCGTTCGAGCCCGTGTGATGGCCGGGTTCAGAGATTGGCCAAAGACGGTGTCACCGAACGATGTCAACGCAATGTTCCTCAGAAGCAGAATGTCGCCAACTTTGATGCTCTCTAGTGTCTGCAGTAGTTGGGTTTGAACGTGGTTTTGTTCATTGTTTGACTCTCGGGGTGGACGCAGCCAGAACGTGACCTTGAAGTCTGAGCGCGTATCATCCGCAACGATGATCTCCCATAGATTCATCTTGTATCCGCCCTTCCGAACGAAGACTTCTTTTTGTTCCGGAGTCGCTGTCACAACGCATAAGAAGTTTGGTGTTGGAGTTTGCGGGTAGATCGCTCGTAGACGCTGTGCGTTAGGTAACAATCCAAGAGGCGTGATACTCATCTTGGGCGCGACTTTGACGAGTAGTGTATGCTCATCGACTTTGCTTGGGCTGTCAAAGTCCGATAGAGTAGTTCCGAAAGAAGTAGTCAAGAAGGATGAGGAGCTGACGCTCTTATCTGTTATACCGTCTGGCAGGACCTGAGACGACAGTAGCGTGTCGTGGAAGACGAGCGAATGCTCAAGATAGCCAGGTGTGGCGAGTGACGTATCCTCAAAGGCGATAGATGTATCCAAGTGCGTTGTATCTTCTTGTAAGAAAGACGGATACCGACTCACATTGGGCAGCGAAACGTCTGATATGTCTTGACCTCGAACATTTCCTGGGAGAAAAGGTTGTGACCATCCAGTCTGGAGCCGAGGGTTCTTGAGAGGCAGTCCGCGCCACTTCAAAGCCGGTGTGGATTCATTTGCAGGTGTAGAGACACTTGTTGCTGCATCAAAGGGACGGCAATCCTCGACTGCCAAAAGTGTGTCCTCATTAAACTCTAGATGGTTGCGCAAGGGCGCTCCATTGAGCATCTTCAGCCGCATCTTACGCGACTGACGCGTCTACGCGTACGTGTTGGATCGACGCGTGCGCGATAGAAGTCTAGGGAACAGCGTGTTTCTTCGAAGTATACTAGCGTAGGAGGTATGCGAGGGTCATGTGGAGCCGAGTAAAGAGAAGTCGGAGAATGTGAGGATGTCCGGGCCTCGTCCAACAAATCCGAAGCTGAGGGCATAATCGTCGCCTAATCTGATAACGCGAGGTCCGAAAGCCGAAGCAATTCACCGAGACAAGAAAAGCAACATAAGAGGCGGTCAGCTTCCGTCTGAACTCCCGTAAGACTTCGACTTTGGTGATATTCGATAACTTCTGTTCATTAGGCAACGACGGCCGTGAACGGGCGTGAAAGACATCATCCAGGTACCAACCACTCCGTAAGCGTCGGCGTCACCGCGCGCCCACATTCCGCGGCCTTGGCGATCTAATCGCCGCATCTGATATAAAGATACGCAATGGCACCATCCAAGACGCCCCACCGGCCGATAAACGCCTACCGAGTCCCTGCCATGTTGCGCAACCTGTCCTACAAGCTGACCTCGGCACTTTCGTCGTCAGAAGTCCCTACGTTGGCCAAGGACAGCGACGAATTCACCAAAGCGAAGAAGACGGAGGAGTTGTTCCCGACCACCGACCCCGCGGTAGATGGCGACGATTGCCTGCACGACTGTGCTAGTTGCAGTGTCAAGTACCCGCGCAAGTTCGAGATTGATGAGACGGAAGAGCTGTATGGGCACGTGAAGGGATGGAGTACGCACTTGATTGTTGCGACGGGCAAGACGGATTGGGTGCGCGATGTTGCGGACGAGAAGGGCAGCATCATGGAGGCGGTTGACAGGGGCGATGCAAAGCCTAGCAATGGGGTGAGTTTGGAGATATGCTACCGTCAGGCTGTGTCGAGTGTGAGCTAATTGGATATAGAAACTCATGTTATCAGCCTCCAATATGCCCGTCCCAGACCACTCGGATCACAGTTCCATGGTACTACTGCTACCATCATGGCAGTTCATAGACAATGTCACGCCTGCGAACATCCCCGAACTCATCACCGACTATATCAACCCCGGTCCTACGAACAATACCCCATTGCGCTCACGGAAAACTGCCGCGCTACCACCCTCAGAAAAGCCGGAAGAGACTTCTTCCGCCGACGCCGACGCGCCCTCCTCCATACCCCCGTCGATACCCGCACCCCAACTCAAAGCCCGACCATGTCCACACAAATACCTAATCCTAATGTGCAGTCAAAAGACACGAGACGCACGTTGCGGCCAGTCAGCTCCTCTTCTACGAAAAGAGTTCGAGCGACTGCTCCGACCACTGGGGTTATACCGCGATTTACACGATGAGCGACCGGGTGGTGTGGGGATATACTTCATAAGCCACGTTGGAGGCCACAAGTTCTCGGCAAATGTCATGGTCTACCGACATTCTTCAGTCGTCACACGACCCGAGGGCACCAATGGCACTGCCAATGGACATGCCAATGGCGCGGAGAAGCGGCTCGCGGAGCTGAAGCTTGAAGACGATAATGGGCAGGAGGTTCTGCTGGATGCTAATAAGGAGCAGGAAGCAGAGGGTAATGGCGAGGCTGCGCAATGCATATGGTTGGCGCGAGTGAAGCCTGAGGATTGTGAGAATATTATTAAGTACACGGTGCTACAAGGGAAGGTGGTGAAGCCGGAAAGGCAACTGCGAGGTGGCTTTGATCGATGCAAACAGCTAGCTAGTTGGTAATCGACTCTGGAGCACTGCCGTATCCTCCAGCTCAGGCGCTGTCTGAGTCCCAGGCAACTCATATGGTGTTTCCTCCACGTCCTCTGATGTAGTCCCAAGACTCTCATCGTTTGCACCTGCCGACTTCTCGCTTTTGTTGCCATCTGGATGCCTCCGGCGAATCCAGTACATCGCGATGAATATGGTGCCAATGATTGTTAAGCCGCCCAAAACGCCGCCTATTATCGCACCGATATCAAGGGAGTGAATTCCAGGCTCGTTGACGGAGGACGACGAGCTGTCATCGAAAGTCGCAGAGTCACCATAGGTCGGCGTCGCACTCGTTTCTTGAGGCCGTGAGTATGCATCGCTAGAGTCGGATCGGTCGGTTGTTATGGTGACAGTCTTGAAGAGAGGTGGGATTATGACTGTAGAATATGGTCCTGCGGATTCTTTGACGGTTTCTGTTACGGTTTCCGTCTCGGGCTCCCACAAGTCCCCGGTGTTGGGTGTCATCTTAAGCGTGCGGATGCCTGATGAAGGAGTCCAGTAAGAGTAGGATTGCTTTTTATTGTTAGATTGTAGACCTGTAGCAAGATGACCAAAGTACGTACCGTCTCCATCTCAGCTTGTCGCGGTCGGTGTCTCAACGGCAGCGAGTAACCTTTATGAGCAAGAAAAAGGTACCTAAGACAACTTTGACTAGATGGAATATTGCATAGTTCTGCTTCCTGTACACAGCCCCTTTCAATAAGAACGTCGATGTAACACTGGAACGCAGCATCGCGGTTGTGTCACTACCTATATCAGCATGGTACAGTGCAGGACGTAGAATCTGCGCGAATGACTTAACCAAAGGCTCCGTAGTACAGAATACGTACATACTAGGGTATATACAAGGTTAGGCTCAATATGCAATGAATCACGCGCATCCGGGAAGATACATGTTGAACTCGAACATAACATGGGGTATCATTTGTGGTATATCGCTTGACCATGCGTCTATGGTGTGTTTCTGTCGGCTTTATGTGGCCCGTGGTCCTCAATATGGCAATCAATTTTCGATCTTTCCGAGTATTGCGACTTCGCAGCGTGCTCCTCATCGATATGCCGGTCATGGTCGACCTTGCTCGACGAGATTAGTCGAGCATTTCGGGCCGCCAACTCGTACTTATCGTCTATAGAAGTGCTCCGCGCGTGACGATGGCGACTTCCTGTAGGGTCTTGATCATCACAAAAAAGCTGTGAGTGACTCTTCAATCGCTTGTGATCACACGACATGTTGTATGTGCACATACACGTTTCTTCTCAGCCTGCGGCCTCCTTGACTTTGCCACCTGGGTTTGGTGCTTCGTCAATGAACTGCGGTGGCGCTGTATCGTCGAGCATGAAGTTGGGCACGCCTGAGGACTCTCCGATACCTTCAAAGTCGACCTCGTCACCCAACGCCTCCAGCTCAGCATCCAGCTCCGACTCGTCCACATCTTCTGGCACGTCGTAGCTGCGGCTTATAGCGTCTTGTATATCGTTGCCCATATCCATGAGATCGGCCATCTCGTCTTGCAGTTTGTCGATCTTATCGATGTTGACCTTGCCGTATTGCTTCCGTAGCTCTTTCGTCGTTGTCTTCATGGCGTCGATGGTGGTCATTGTGTTCTTGAGATTGTCCTGCATCATTCCAGCCTGTTCCATGTTCCACGATTGCGCCTGAAGTTGGTCGCGCTGAGCTTCGTACTGCTTCCGTTGCTGGAGGACTTTGAGGGCTTTTTGCTTGATGGCGGTTTTGCCGGGGCCGTCGCGCATCTTGGCGAGCTTCTGCTGGTAGGTGGACAGCTCAGCATTGAGCTTGGCGAGTTTGACATCGAGACTTTCTATGCGTGTGTCGACCTGAGCGCGTCAGTATTGGAAGGGTGTTGCCTAATGGATGGAGCCTACATTGGAGATGGCGCTGTTGAGCGTGGGCTTGGGCGCGCTGCTCTTCGCACCGAATAAGCGGTTCATGATGGTGGAGGTATATGTGGGTTGCCGGCCGGAGAGTCGTGATATGCAGCCGAGGGAAGAGGACAGGCGTGGAGTGTGTTGGCAGTGTGGGGTGAATGGCAGGCACCGAACGGTGGTCGTAGCTCCGGCAGTTCCCGCTAACGTCATCGATCGTCACGTGGACGCTAATGATTGCCCGACCCTGAGATGCCCAAGCAGGATTGCCATACATTGGAGTGCCCCATGCCATGGCAATTGCCGACATTGACAAGCTAACAAAAGCAACCATAGTAGACGATGAAGCAATTCATTAACAGCTATCTACACATGAGTCAAATGAACTTTTCTCACAGGCGGATGCCGGCATGCGATGCCAGATGCAAGATGCACCAAACCATCACATTGTCGAAGGTCCTACATCACCTTGAAAATCTCCAGAATGCGCGGTGTTCATGCCATCAGCACTAGCTCGCATGCTTATCTTGAGCAACTACTGGGTCCCAGACTTGTAATCGGATACAGCTGGTAGACTTCTTCGACCTCGACACGTCCTGTTGATATCAGGGAGGTGCAAGTGATCTGCAGCCTGGCACGCTATCCGTACTACGCAGCTTCTAGCCTTGCCTGTCACCACCAAACCCAACAATACCCACAACACTCCGACTCGGGAGACACAGACGTTTTCGCAGCCTGTATCTGTAACGACGCCGCGCAACAGTCGGTGCATGGGTTGATCTAGAGCCTCGCGCGCTTTTCGTTTGCCATTGCCTTCCCCGCGGCCTCGTTCGCCTAAGGTACCTGTCCCACCTGTGCAACACAGCCCAAGCCACGAACACGCGCCCTCTGTCTCACTCGAGTCGCTCTGCTAACCCGCCCGCCGCCGTGTCCAGCTTTGCACGGCGTGTCCTTCTATGACGCATTGGTCGCCGCAGTAAATCTACGCATGTGCCCCACGCTGCTGCACACGCTCTCGAGTGCCTCGCCCGACCCTTCCCCTGCCCCGCCCTTGTAGCCGCAAACCACCGCAACCACCATGTTCTGGCGCTTCGGCGGGTACGCGCAGCTGTCGTCGCTCGACAGCATCCTCGACAAGCCCGACGTCACCGTCGAGGAGCTGCTCGACGAGTCGGACCTCATACAGGAGCTCAAGCAGCAGAACTCGAAGCTGATAGAATACCTTCGCGATGAGAATGTCTTGGAACGCCTGCTGCGCTACGTTATCGCCGCCAGACCCGACCTGCCCCCCGACGACGACACCGGAGGAGAGCCTGCGCACGAGGCGAGGAGTCCCAGTCGGACGGGCTTCTTCGGCAAAGTCAGGGCGCGCTCGACATCCACCACCAAGTCCGATGCGGGCGATAGCGAAGAGACCAAGGAGGAGCGACAGCGCATGAAGTACGCCTATGTGTCGTGCGAGATCCTATCGTCCGAAGTATGGTCCATATCCGAGGCGGTCCTCGAGAACCAGGACACCTTGCGACAGTTCTGGGCCTACATCAAGCAGCCTGCGCCGCTCGACCCCGTCCAGGCTGGCTACTTCACCAAGGTCAACGAGTCGCTGCTCGACCGTAAGATGGAGGAGATGCTCGATTTCTTCAAATCATTGGACAATGTTGTAACAGACATGTTGCAGCACGTCGACTGCCCGGTCATCATGGACCTGCTGTTGAAGATCATCAGCCTGGAGAAGAGCGAGGGCGGACAGGGCATTGTTGACGTAAGTCGTCACAGACACGCTTGCTGGCATAACTAACAGACTCCAGTGGCTGCAACAACAGAACCTCGTTCCCCGCCTGATATCATTCCTCGCCCCCGATCAGTCGACTTCCACACAAACGTCAGCTGGCGACTTCCTCAAGGCTATCATCACGATATCCGCAAACGCTACCACGCAAGACCAATCCGTCATCGGGCCTAACGAGCTTACGCGCCAGCTTGTCTCCGAACAATGTCTGAAACAGCTGATCGATTTTATGCTGCAAGGCGGCAACCCGCTGACAGTCGGTGTGGGTATCATCATCGAGGTTATCAGAAAGAACAACTCCGACTATGATTTGGAGAATCAGATTGGGCCGGTACCCAAGAACTCAGATCCCATCTACCTGGGAACATTGCTTCGCCAATTCGCCAACCACATCCCGCAGTTCATGGAGCTGGTTAATAGCTCAAGCCAGATCGTGACACAGCGCGATGGCAGCACTACAAAGAAAAAGCGAGAGCTCAAGACAGCCTTTGGCGAGAAGATTGAACCGCTTGGATTTGATCGGTTCAAGACTTGTGAGCTGATGGCCGAGTTGCTGCACTGCAGTAACATGGCTCTGCTCAACGAACGGGGCAGCGAGGCTGAAGTCAAGAGGCGAGATGCCGAGCGGGAACGTCTCAAGGCTGACGGCAAATTGACTTCAGCGATTTCCGGCAACCCGGGCGATTTCTCCACCAGTGTTGATAGCCAAGGCTTCCACCACGCGCGCGCCCCATCTATGGACTCTCCCGCAGAGATAAAACCTCTGCATGTACAGAACAGTTCGGAAGACGACTTTGAAAAGGTTGTCGCGCCGGAAGTTGCTGTCGAGGAGGCCAAAGACACGGCAACGGAGAAAGAGCAGATTGGAGAGCCATTGGAGCCCTCGCCGAAGCTGCCACCCAGAGATGCGCCGCAGGAATCGTCCGCTGCCAAGACTGCAGGCGACGATGGCGAGTTTGTTGATGAGCCTCTAACACCGCCCAAAGATGCTGCAGCACCTACTGAGAAACCTGCATCTCCACCTAAGCCTGCAGATGATGCGGAGTCACCTACGTCAGCCGGCCTGAGTGCCAAGGTCGATGAGCTTGAGCTGGATACCGACACCGTTATGAACGACCGCCAGGAACCGACAGAGCCTGCGAAGACCGAGAAGTCGGACACCGATGTCAAGACCCCGCCATCTCTTCTCACACAGCAGCTCAACCAGACCTCGGATACCACCACTGCTGAACAGTCCGAGAGTCTTTCACCTCATCCAGACGACAAACCAGCGCCACTGTTTGCGGGTAAGAACCGCAAAAGTGAACCCGAACCAGCCAGCATCGACACCTCGCGCTTCACCGCACCAGTAGCAGGATCAGATCTTTCGGAGATAACTCCCATCGACGAGTCTCAGAGCGTGCGTTCCGTGGTATTTGGCAGTGCAGAGGATGCTGCAGGCTTCGAGATCGACATTGACGGTACGCCTGTTGTTGGCGACTTGCTGAAGATCACGTTCGTTGAGAACAAAGTAGTACCAACGATACTTGTAAGCTCTTTCGATATCTTCCAGCGAAACATGCTAATATTTGCAGGACTTCTTCTTCCGCTTCCCATGGAACAACTTTTTACACAATGTAGTATACGATGTTGTCCAGCAAGTCTTCAACGGGCAGATGGACCGTGGATACAACCGTCAGCTAGCGATTGACCTCTTCGATAACGGAGGCATCACCGAGCGCATCATTAAAGGACAGCAGGAGAGCGACAAATCGCATCAAGAAACGTCAATGCGACTAGGATACATGGGTCACCTCACCCTGATCGCAGAAGAGGTGTTGAAGTTTACAGAGCGACATACCGACGAAGTCTTGTCGCAGATGGTCCTAGAGAAGGTCCACGCTCAAGAGTGGGTGTATTATGTGGAGCATATTCTGGCCGAGACGCGAGAGCGCGACAATGCCATTCTCGGAGGCGTACGACCCGACATGAGCGTCGGGCCCAGACAAGCGGTGCTCAACGCCGTCAACGCGGCAAACAACAACTTTGGAGGCGACAGTGGCGGGCTCTCCAATGCAAGCCTCGCCAACAACGGCAACATAGGCCTCGACAGCATGGAGCTCACCAATGCTGGTGACACTGAGGGTGGTGGGTACACCTTCAGCGGAGGCTCCTTGCTTAGTGGCTTTACTAACTCGAGTGACGAAGAAGACGAAGACATGGACGATGTCGACACCGAGAGAGAGCGGGAACAACGACAGGGACCTGTCGACGACTCCGAACAAGTGGGTGAAATCTCATTTGACGATGCTGATATGGACTATCGATAAGTCCATGGCCCCGAGCATACACACTATACCACGAATGTTTCCCGCCCTTGGTGCGTTTCCTTTTCTTATACTTGTTTGTATCATGAGCGGGAACGGACAGACGGCTCGCATGCTAGATCTATGGGCCTATCATCATCCTTTCTGTACATACATTCCTTGCGCCATCCGACAGGGTGTATGATACATGTAGTAATACGCATCGTGAGATGTGGTTTCCTCTCATCTCCTTTGTGTGATGTACCACTGGATGATTGGGCTTCATTGATCTGGTATGGTGTCCTCTTTCCTCCTCGTTTCCATCTGCTTGTTTCCCCTTTGTCTACCCTTTCTCTGTAAATTCTGATTTGCTCGCGTTCCATCTCCGCCCTGACGAGTCGCACCTACTACCATTGAACAGCTCCGCTAACAATCCCTTCCAGCCCAGTATCCCACCGCCCCTCCAGATCCCCCCATCGCGCGCCCGCCGCCAATTCGCCCTCCGACTCGCCCAACGCAAAGCGCAACTCGAATCAACGCGCGAAGCAGAAGAAGACCCAGACGACCCTTCCGCCCCGAAAACCCAAGAACAAGAAGAACGCGAAGGGCACCAGCGCTTCGCACGTATGTTCGAAGGCATCGAAGACTCTTCCGACGACGACAGTCTGCACAGTATCGAAGGTATGGGAGAGGACGAAGAGAGCATACTCGGCCGCATTGAAGTTGAGGGCCAGGAGGTGGGCAGGAGGAGTCCGATCAAAGTGGCTAGTCCCGAGAAGGTGAGTAGTCCGGAGTTGGAGCGGGGCCCGAGTGGTGGGGAGGGTAAGGAGGAGGAGACGAGGGTTGTGGTTTAGTATGTTGTTGATACGTTTATGAATGTGGTTGATGGGTAAGGCGCGGGCTTCATCAGCAGTATCGTTGGTGTGTTGTTCGATGTCGCTGTTGATGGGCATTACGAGAATTCATGTAGGTTTACGCGATGGATTGGCATGATGTATGTAGTAATGCATGGTTATGAGATACCCCCTTCGATCTATCTCTTGGGATATTGTACTTTACGTTGAGCTGGAGCACCCAATATGGCCGCAACATGCTTTTTTTATTGGAGAGGTTTGCACTTTCATCCCGCATTGTGTCGAAGACAAGGCAGGTACGACATTGGCGAACAGTACCTACCCATCCAGACGCTCACGTCATGTGACTTGGCGACACGCTAAGTAGATCCTTAGCGCGTCCGTCATCCACCCTTCCCTACCATCAACACCCACGAACTCCAGACAAATCCCACACCACCCACCACGATGTCCTCCCAACCCGCTCCTCCCCGCCCTTCAAACGACCACCGCCGCACCTCCGGCGCCCCAAAACGGCAATCCATCCTCCCAAAACCCTCTTCCATTTTCCTCGACACCACCGTCCTCATCGCCCAACACGCGCAAATCACCGGCACGCACCCCGTCACAATCGGCCCTAACACCGTTCTCCACCCTCACAGCAAACTCAGCAGCGCAGTCGCACCTGTTGTCCTCGGCGAGGGCTGTGTAGTTTTTGAACGCGCGAAAGTAGGTGTTGGTATGGGTGCTGAGGGGGGTGCGGAGGGGAAGAGAGGGAGTATGGCACCTCCTGCAAGGGGGAGTGGGAGTGTAAGGGAATCTATGCGCAGTGAGGGAACGGTGCTGGGTAGGAATGTGGTTGTTGATTCTGGGGCTGTGGTTGAGGCGGCGGAGGTGGGTGAGGGGAGTGTGGTTGAGGTTGGTGCTGTGCTGGGGAGGGGCAGTATTATTGGGAGGGTATGTCATACACGTCTTTTCTTTGCGTTGAAGGAGAGGACTGTTGGGGCTAACATCTTTGTAGTACTGCACTATATCGGCTTCTTCAGTTATACCACCTTATACCCGTTTGCCAGATTATACGGTCGTGTATAGTGGGAATCAACAAAGGGTGGATCGGACGCTGCAGTTAAGACCGGAGATTCTGGAACAGAAGATGGCGGTGCATGCGAAGCAGCTGGATATGTTTAAGAAGCTTATTCCCAATAACATTGCGAAATGGTCTTGAGGGGAGGACGTACTCGGGTCTTCGCGCTATCCTTCGGATTCCAGACGGGACGAGCTTCGACATAACGCCTCGACGACATTCCTAAACAGACCTCGGCCTACAGCCGCGATTCCAGGGGTGAAACATTCTGGGGCTGTGAAAGTAAGGAACTCCTACGGGACTCGGCGCTGGTTGCCTTGTGAAAGCTATGGATAGTCATAGCAGAAGCAATGGCAGCAGTGAAAGTAAGGTGTTCCTACGAGACTCGGCGCTGGTTGCCTTGTGAAAGCTTTGGAAAGCCATAGCAGAAGCAATGGCACCAGTCTTTCACCGAACAGTGGGCCCTCTAGGACTATCCCCCGATTGTATATGTACGAAGCACCTCCACCGTTCACGACAAGAACCACCACACCATTTAGCTCTACCGCCATTCGCATTCAACCATATCCGCACCAGCACCAGCATTGCGACCAACAATGCCTCTCTACGCCTCCAAATCAGCCTTCCTCGCTTCGGACATGAAGGCGTGTCCCATGCCGCCCTCCGACCCATCCTGTCCTATCTGCCGCGAAGACCTCCAGCCTCACGAGCCAGAAGCCTCATCTACAGGTCCTACAGCCGACGACGTTCAAGGCGGTACTCTCACCCCAAACAGCTCCGCCGCTGACCACGACACCATCGCCGCCAACAGCGCACCCGTTGAACCAAACGAAGATCACTCCCCCGTCAAGGTCACCTGCTGCAACAACATCTTCGGCCGCGATTGTCTAGAGTCCTGGCTCACCAGGGCAAACAGCTGTCCATTCTGCCGCGCCGAGTTTTTCCCATCGCAGACTGTACCAACGGAAATGACATTCGAATGGTTTGCTCAACTCATTGAAAGAGCAGAAGCTCGAACTGACGCGAGGTTGGAGGCAGCGAGAGCTCGATATACAGAGGGCATGACGGCGGCGACAGCTCGGTTCACAGAGGGCATGGTAGCTCGATACATTCAGCGCATGGAGGCTGCGGCAAGTGGCATTACAGGCATACGTAGAAGGGACCTGCGTACGCTTGAGGCTCTGCAGCAGGCGGGTCCGGATGTGGGATTGCCGACCCGGGATGACGCTGAGGATGAGTCTGAGTTGTCTTCTGAGTACGAGTCGGAAGATGAATCTGATTCAATGCCCGAGCTAGAGCCGTTGGATGAAATGGAAGGGTACCACTCGGAGTCTGGGTCTGTTCTGAGTGAAGATGAGGATGACGAGTCTGAGTTTGAGGATGATGATGAGGATAGCGGTGATGAGGATGAAGGGGGCGATGGACCCCCTGAGGGACCTGGATCTGGAGGCGCGGTTTGTATTGGGTGCGCTCATACAGGTGCTTCAGTGCGAGCCTAGAGTGGCGTCGCTGGAATAACGTGTGTAAAAGAAGGTTTCGATAGGCTGGAAAAGCTGATGTATTCATTCTTCCTGGTTGCGTTTCTTATAGTCATCCATAAATAATCATGTCGAAGTAGCACTTGCTTCAACTATTACAAGCTCAGCATCTATCATACTCATCCCCTGACTTTGCACGTCTACCTCTACCAACATACCTATCAGGCTATGACCAGCTGCTGGATAGCTTGAAACATCGTGGTATCCAACGATGCAGCAGCTGGTCATAGCCGGATACGTACGTTGGTAGAGATAGATGTGCCTATCAGACTACACCACATCTCCCACAATCCCCTTCCCAACCCTACCCATCCCAACTCACTGCCACCGAAACGCATCCCCCGGAATAAAGAAATTCGCATCCTCAAACGTGATGACCCGATCCATATCCAGAAAATGACTATCCATAAACGCATCCGACAGATTAAGCAGAGACTGGTCTTGAGTGCTATGCTGGTTCCCCGTCGTGCCAGTATTACCGTACGGTGCGAGCGATGGACCAGATACCGGGACTCCGTTTCCGGGCTGTTGATACTGCTGTAGTGGGGTATGGCTCGGGTAACTAGCCTGTACTTGTGGCGATGCGTATATAGGAGGTGGCGGCTGTCCGGATGGTGATATCGCGTGTGCGGATGGAAGGCGCGGATGGTGTTGCTCGTAGTTGCTGGGTGAGGGCATGGTTGTGTTGCGAGTTATGTCTGGAGGCGGGATGCGGCGTGGGCTGAGGGTTGAGTGCGAACTTGTGAAGCTGTTGGTGCGTCCGTGGTTCCTCATTAAAGAACGCTCATGCGCGAGGCTTCTGGAACGCGCTTGTGGTGTTGCGGCGTAAGTCGGACTGGCGTAGTTTTGTGGGTCGAGGGTTAGTCCGTTGTGGTCGTAAAAGTCGAAGCGGAAATTTGCGTCGTTTTGACAGGCTTCGAGGAGTCGTTTGAGGTGGTTTGCGTAGATTGCTGCTTGGTTATTTGGTTTCGCGTCGTCTGTACCTTTCCCTTTCCATCTTGCGGCCATTTCCTCGAGATTGTGGATTAGGCGGTGGAATTCTGATCGTAGAGATTTGCGGGTGGCTTGGTGTTCGAAAAGCAGCGCTTTGGCGGCTATGAAGGCGCAGAACGAGAATTGGACGTTGACGAAAGGTATGGGAGTGTGGGTAAGAAACTTGTCCACGATGTTCGAAGTCTCCACCGCGGCGAGCTCGCAGGTCTGGGCACTGCATTCTTTCGGTAGTGCGACGAAGTCGTTCCATCCGCGTGGTGGGTATCCGATTGGATGGTGCAGTAAGATCATAGAAGTATTATGTGTGATGTGAGCTAGAGTCAGGTTGGGGTCCATGTCAACCACAGTCCTGTCTGACGAGATGTTGGAGTCCTTCCATCTTGGAGGCAGGAAGATCTTCCACTGAACAAGTCTCAAGTCTAGCTCCTTGAAGCGTGTCAGCCAACTGACTGCATGCTCCTTGTCTTGCCAATTGATCCTTTGTTGAAGGAAGAATGTCGTCACTTGACTCAAGCTCTCGGTTGCTTCGACACAATATGCGAATGCGCCTAGCTTAGAAGCATCGATGTAGCCGTTGGCAGAATTGGGGCTGGCTCCTGGAGGCAAGTGGTCGACTCCTGGGTCTTCTTCGTTGTATTGCGCGGGCACATTCGCTAGTGAGCGTCCGATGCGAGCAGCGGCCTTGTTCCAGATGCCGAAGTAGGGTGTGGTCACCGGCTCTTCTCTGGTGAAGAAACCGCCGTCTGCCGGTAACCGCCGGTGCACGTCATCTGCCGTGAGACTGGTGTTCCACCCTGTAGACACCGAACAATATCGATCGAGCAGAAATATGATCCAGAATAATCTTCGTCGCTCTTCCAACTCCGTCCAGTCGTTTGAGGGCTTCACTAACCGCACAGGCGTCATAAGTGATCCCGACTGCGATGTTGATGGCTCGGTAGTAAGTTGGAGATAGTCTATAGTCCTCGTGAGCGACCCGATCAACGGCCACGCTCTATGTGTTTGACCGTCATTAAGAAGATCAAAGACTAGGAATATGAGGGCCTGCAAGCTTTCGATGGTGACATTGCGCATCGCATGCGTTTCCACAATCATCCGGGAGACCCTCGTCTGCTGAAGGATCTGATCATTGTCCAGGTACAGTACGTTGGTGTCCATGTGTCGCAGAGTAACGGCGACCAGAGCATGAAGGACCAATACATGTCCTGGATCCTGGCAACCTTGGCGCACTCGCGTTTGGAGTCTCGCCTTGTGGATATATGGGATCCAATGATGGAATGAGATACAGAAGAAGTCTGCAACCTTTTCAAGTAGTGGTCGAGATGGCAAGTGCTGCGCGATATCAACATCTTCGAAGGGGAAAAGCCAACTCTCAGCAATTGGCATCTCGAATCTTCTTTTCAGCGGATTGGACACGCCATTCTCTTCTTCGGAAGCGCTGGAGCCATCCTCTGCGGTTTGGTGGTTGTGGCTATAATCGGGAGTAGGCGCGACATACGGCGCGTGTTCCTCAACACGAGGTGCGCGTTCTTTTGCAGCACTGGGGCTTTCATGCGCGACGGCATGGCCATTCGCTGTGGTATCATCGTCTCTATACCGTGGCCGGATGTTTCCCGCATCATCTAGCAGTATCCTCTCCAGAAAGGCTACGGAGCGTAAGATTGAGTTCATCGTAGAAGGAGCACCACATACCGACGCGGCGGGTCAACGCCTCAACAGCCCCAGGCTTAAGCCCAGGTTTATTCTTCGGCTGGTAAACACATTCAGAGGCTATGGCACATTAGTGACGCGAAATAGCGCCAATTGACAGAAATACTCACACAGCCTCAAGCAATGCGAGCACGAGGGTGTCTCGCGCGAGCATCGCAGCTTGCGTTGCTTGCAGCTAACGCACGCGGGCGTGTCACCGCCCACCGAGACGGGACCGTCGTCCTCGCCTGCCTGGCTACCATTGCCAACCGAGTAATTGGTCCACCCAGCCGACATCAGCACGACATCGCAAAAGCGCTGATCAAAAAGAAGCAAATGTGGAGGATGCAGCGAGCGGCGGGCATCGGGATAAATCGATAATTACTCCACACGCTGGGCCCCGCGCGGTCTAACCCTCCTTTCGGCTGATCACCATCACTCCACCCCGGAAGCCACCCGATTCAATCAATACGGGACGGGAGCCTATGGCGATATGCGGTATCGATGTAGCTTTCGGATGCGCTACCTATTGAAGCTTGGGTGTAAAGAGGCTCGAATTGTCCGTTGCATCCACTGGTGCCGCCCAGGGCGGGTCACACCAAAGAACCACCGGATCCAGGAGATTATGGAACGTGTAGAGCTGCAATTGCAATGCCTCCATTCGAAAGAACTAGGAGACCTTGTATCACGTAACAGAGGGTCTTGATAACCCTCAGAACACCATGCCTCCGCTAGACGGCTTCTCAAACAACCCGTTCAAGACCCACGCCGATCTCAAGACCGCATCAATAGCACTTCTCCGCGCACTGAAGCCATACCAATCACCCCATGGCGCCCGAATCAAAGTCCCATTATCAACCGGTACCCATTTCGACGATGTCGCCGCCCAGCTTGAAGGATACGCCCGGCCGCTATGGGCAGTCGGCGCGCTGATGCACTCGAACATTGTGTCTGAAGACGAGTACGAAGAGCTCATCAAACCCTACGCCCTAGGCCTGGCCAATGGTACCAACCCAAATCACGAAGACTACTGGGGTCCCGTCGTACTACGCGATCAAAGAATGGTGGAAATGGAGATCATCTCGTTCGCGCTACTATCAGCTCCCGAGACCATGTTCCATTCCCAGACAGAGGAAGCGAAGAGGCATATCAGGGAGTGGCTGGAAACTATCAATGGCAAAGACTTCCCAACGACAAATTGGCTGTGGTTCCGCGTCATGACTAACTTGGCGTTGATCAAAGTATGCGACGTACCCAAAGAGCATGGTCTTGATGCGATGAAAGCGGATTTGGATCTCATGGAGCAGTTTTACCGAGGGGACGGCTGGGCAGCAGATGGTATCTGGAGCGATGGGGGACGACAGGCAGATTACTATTCCGGCAGCTTTGCAATCCAATTCTCGCAGCTTATCTATGCGAAAATGGCACAGGATCTAGACCCAGAGCGATGCGAAAGGTTTCGGAGTAGAGCGAAGGAATTTGCGGTATCGTTCTGGCGGTACTTTGACACCAATGGTATGTTGAATACCTACCTCGAGCACCCAACACTGACTAAAGCGCCCTAGGTGCCGCTATACCCTTCGGCCGCAGTCTAACATACCGTTTCGCATTCGCTGGATTCTGGTCCGTCGTCGCTTTCGCCGAGCTCGAGCTCCCGGAACCACTCAATGACTGGGGCGTGATCAAAGGACTTTTGCTCCGGCACTTCCGCTGGTGGAGCAAGAAAGACGACATGTTCAACATCGACGGCACTCTGACAATCGGCTTTACCTACCCCAACATGTACACGAGCGAAGACTACAACAGCCCGCAATCTCCTTACTGGGCCATGAAATCTTTCCTAGCGTTAGGACTACGGGAAGACCACCCGTTCTGGACTGTGGAGGAGAAGCCTTTACCCATTGGGGAAGTGGTAGTTATGCCAGTTGAACCAGCTATGCATATCCTCTGCAACCAGTCAAACCACCATTTCCTCCTCTCCATGGGCCAATTCTGTCCTTGGCCGCTCAAAGCAACGGAAGCCAAATACGGAAAATTCGCTTACTCATCTCACTTTGGTTTCAGCGTGCCTACTGGTACCTTGATACAGCAAATTGCACCAGACAGTACACTCGCAGTGAGTAAAGATGGGGGCGAGACATGGCGGGTGCCATGGAAGGTCACGAATCATTGCTTTGCTACTGCACAACTGATGCGCAACGACGAATTTGTAGAAGACATACCGTGCTTAACAAGCACATGGAAACCCTGGGCCGACGCCGATATAACGGTGCAAACACACATCGTGGCTCCTTGCTCGCGCTGGCCAGATTGGTACATCCGCTGGCACCGCTTCACCAACAACGGGTCTAGTGTTATCAATATCCAGGCCGTCCAAGGTGGCTTTGCGATCCAAGGCCGCGGCGATAAGTACGGTGAAGTCTTACCAACACACGCACATAGCTCTGAATTCTCCATCCAAGCAAGCCGAAACAATGCTTCTTTCCCGCAAGGCACGGTAACAACCCAGCACTCAGCTCTCATCTGCTCCAACGCCGGTGCCAGCGGCATCACTGCCCTCAATTCAGACAGCAGCGATTATCTATCGGAAAGAACATATGCGGAAGTCCTGAAACCGGATGCGAATACGAATTTGATGTGGCAGCGCACACTCATTCCCACTGTTAGGAACGAGTTGAGCATCCCGCCAAATACGCGTGGACAACCAGTTTCTGAGTTTGGCAGCGCGGTGTTTGCTCTAGCTAGGACGAAGGATAGAGAGGAGCGGTACGCGGGGTTGAGTTATAGTGAGTTGTGGGGTGATGTGCCAGTACTGGATACTGGGCGAGGGAAGCAGAGGGATGGGGAGTGGTGTATTAGGCTTGAGTAAATATACAGGCTAGAAAAGTGATATAATCTCATCATTGACCAGCCAGCTGAGCAGGACATAGAGACGTTGTGTGACTTACCATTGAAACCCTAGTCATAGCCCTGGCCGACAAAATATGATTAACGGGAGAGTCGAAGGCTTAAACGTAGGGGCGTAAGTCTGAGCATCACATGGGCATGTACCACACGCAAACAACTTTTGAAACATATTCTAGTATTCAATCTAGCAAAATAAAGACCCGCAAGCCAAGCTAATCGTGCAAATGTGATAATCGGTATATCTTCCTCCATTCCCCAATCCGATTCAAATAGGCGCCCAGACATTTCAAATTTTGTCCGTTATAGCTAGAGAACACACAGATAGTACAAGCAGGTCATGATCTTGCCAATCCGCACCACGTATGTGCAGAAGGTGATGTTTTTGTAAATGACAAAAAGCCATAAAAAGACCACGTATACTGAGGTCCAAGACACCGGGTAAACGCCAACATGATTGATTAGCAAAAGGTGGCTGCCGTGCCGCGAAGGATGAGTTTGTTGAGTGGGCTTGGTGCTTCTACCTCTTCCTCACGCAGAAGAAGAGACCAGTGCGACCAAGGAACCACAAGCATCCGGCGAAACGGACAATGGCGAGCGCAGCGGTAGCCCAAAGAAGGGCCTGGAAGAAATGCGCGGTTCTGCCAGAGGCGCTTGACTGTTATTGAATTAGTAAGATGGTCGAGATTGAGACTAAGGTAAAACTTACAGAGAAACCGAAGCGGTCAAAGTTGTCCTGGGTAATGACGACCGCAAGTGTGGCGTTTGAACCAATCCAGGCTGTGCACAAATGGGTACGGAAAGACTTGTAAGAGTCCTCCAGAGTCTTCTCGTCGCTCTCGACAGGTGGTACGTAAGGAGCGAGAGCGCGCTTGACGGTAGCTTCGAACTGACTGTCAATATCGGCTTGTGGCAGATCCGGCTCCTCGATAACGTTGTGCTTGCCGTCGGCTCCCTTCTCCGTCTTCGCTGAGGGAAGTGCATCTGCCTTGTCGGAACCCTTGGTACCCCAAGAGACATCGTGCCAGTTGGAGAAGGCGTAGACGTTGAGGATATTGACGTAGGAAGACATGATGAGCAGATATTGAGGGAACGAGGTGAACATGTGCCATGGGTCCATGTAGAGGAACGAGGCGACGTAGTAAAGACCGAAGGTAGCCGCAAGAGCGATAATGATAATACCGACACCGCTCGACGAGAAGAAAGAAGAGGCGAATGCTTCTGGTGATGAGGTATCGAGTTTCTGCGAGGACGGGTTCGTGAAAGCCTGAACAACGAGGTAGATGGACAGGATAACAATGTAGAACTGGATGAGACCGAAGACGCAGAAGGAGACCAGGTAAGACCACTTGGAACCCTTTGGACGATTACCAAAGGCCAAAATGAACTGTAGGACCAGGAATGCGAGGTAGAGATATGTGACGATAACGTTGAAGATGGGCGTGACAGTGTTTCCGAAGGGCCAGGCGTCTCGGGTATCGGTTTTGGTACCGACAAGACTCATGATAACGACGGTGGTAAGCCAGAAGGAAGCCAGGGAGAACCAGGCCATGATGGTCTGGAAG